ATTTTGCTCATAGTTGAAACCAAGTAGAAACCCCAGTCCTTGTGGTAGAGCTGGGCTGGATGAGTCTGGCTGGCTGCAGAAAAACTGAGGCTGAAGCTCAGGAGGAAAGTGAGGACATCCCCTTTATTTTACGCTGTTAATGCTGAAATCCCTTGGTGGCAAATGAAGGTCCGTCATTGCATCTGAATGCTGTGTGTTGAGCTATTTCACAATAGATGGAAACCCTCTAGAAAGAGGAAGGAATATCTCACTGAGCTATCTTCAAAGGCCTCATGAATAACACTTTATTGCTCAATAATTGGTTGTACTCCATGTAATACRGCTGAGAAGTGGGAAGAAGGCTTTTCTTTTGGTTTTTTTTGCTTAATGGCTAACTTTCCTCTTCCCAAAATTCTTTGCATAGTTGGGGAATGTGACTTCAGRAGGGCAGTTGAGAAGTGAAGGGGATTTGACAGCTTGAAGTAACCGTTCAAATGAAGCGAAGCAAATGGGCAGCACTATTTCCATTTTAAGCATTGTCAGGGTAACAAGCATGCAGCCGAATTTCAGAAAGAATGCATGGATGGGAGGTTATTTGGGCAGCAGTAAAAGCACCRGGAGAGAATTAATGGAAACAGAAATGAAGTTAGAAAATGAATTTAGAAACACGCTTTGCCTTAGGGTTAAAATATTCAAAGCATTCTGGGTACTTGGATKTCAAATTCCTGTTCAAGTTCATGGCTAAAGTTCTACTTCCCTCTTTTSAGCTTCGATGTTTTTGTGCGTGCTCAAGAGCATGTTAAGCTCTGAACAGTTTATTTTGAGCARCAGAGGCTCTGCTTTCCCACCTGTGTGAGTCAGGTGGGTCAGTTCCTCTATTCCATTGCTCCACCACCTKGGGAAGTGTTTGTGCTGGCCCATGGTGCTGGTTTTGGGAAACAGGTGGAATCTGATCGAGGGGGCTGAGCTGAAGTTACACAAGAAGTTTAATTACATTCATGTTGTGATGTTCAATTAGAAGTCTATTCTTTTTAGTAAGATGATACCACAATAAATACAGGGACTTGCAACTGAAAGATGAGATTTGGTGGTTGGAAGGACAGAGTAGCATGAAGGCTGTGGTGGGAGCCTTCTGTGATAGACAACTTGCAATCAGTGTGGTATTTTTGCTCAAAGTGTTCTTAGGTGTGAACCAGTCTCTGAGCCACAGGAAAGTAGTGAATTCTTCTAGAAAATGTTTTTATGTTTCTTTTTCTGAGAAAACAGGTGCGGTGTGACCTTTTGTTTCTCCTTCCCTGTGGTCTGGTGGGAGCRTTCTTACTGAACATTGCATCATGTTTCTTGCCTTGTTTTCCTGAAWGCTAAAGCCCTGTGGAGTTGATTGTTTCCTAATGTTCTCTCTGACTGGAAGGGTGAGGATGCTGCAGAAATGAACAGAGGAGAGTCTGTGTATTGAAACTGAAAGCTGAACCAGCAGCTCATGGGGCACCTGAGCTCTGTTTCAACTGRTGACTGAACCTGCAGTGGCAAAGTTCACCTGCTAAACCATCACTGCCAGGGCTGATCCACTTTGAGCTGAAACCATRTGCTGTTCTTGTTAGACTCCAGAATAACCCGAGTTGGGTTTTATTTTAATTCTTCAAGTTCCACATGATAATGCCTTTTTGTGATGTACTTTGAGGAAAGTAAACCAATTTCTAAAAAGTCTTTAATACTGATGATTTGAAGGCATGATATTTTTCTTAAATCTTGTCAAAAATATGTTTAGGAGTCCTACTTTTGCACTGATTGCATGTATGCCTGGACTTTAAGGTACCATGAATTAAAAATTATGCTGTATAATCCACAGATTTTATGTCCTCTGTCATCCCTATGATTCATTAACTCAGAGCCTTAGCCTACCTTCAGTGTCCCTGCAGCTCCATGGAACCGGGAGGACTATCTCTGTTGGGTCCCTCTGGCTGCACTGCCCTCCTTTGGAATCTCATGCTCAGCCAGTGATGGTGTTGCCAATTTTGCTGACTTTTTTTCATCCTSAAGGCACTCAGCAAAGGGAAGGGACAATGGAATGCGTGACCCCAGTGCTGTGGGGCGTTGGCTGCTGAGTGAAATGGCACTTGGGCCAACACTGTTCCATGCCCAGAAAAGAACAGAAACTCTTCTCTTTAGCAAATCTGCCGAGTTAAACTTCCCCTTGCCTCTCTTCTTGAGGTCAGTGCTTGTATTTTATCATGTTGAGGTGGTTCTGCCTGGAGCTTGGCACGGGGAAAGTGCCTCATCTCACTTTAAAAATAGAAATTTAGCATCTTCCCTGGTTGATCTGTCCGACAGCTGCACCACAGTGTGCTCCTCTTACATTGCTCCTCAGGGAGTTTTATTTCACCAAACTTGGCCTGGTGAGGCCTTAGAAACAGCCCAGCAGGTCCCTCTGTGGGAAAACAGCCCACGCTGAGGCAGCTACCTGGAGCCATTTCTGGGTTTTTATTCAAACTCTGATCTAAATGATGCTCTGAGAATTGATTCAGGGTGGGATGGTGGTGGGAGGTTTGGACAAGCCACCAACAAAGAAGGCCTTTTCAGGGTGAACCTGCTCTATCTTCCCATGCAGTCAGAAATCTGGGTTACCTTGAAGGGCAGGATCTCCTTGAAAGGCATTCTTTCCTCTGGGAAACCTTGACCTTTCCTCTTTGGATGGGGTCACAATTGTAAGGTAGTTCCTTGGTACAAATATGATCTATCTGATAAAGGTGGTTTAATTTGCTTACAGGGATTAGAGAGTGAATTTCCCTGCCTGAGATTTCCCTTCTCAAAGTCAGGAGTGTGTGAATCAATGTAAACTTGTGAMTAATGGACTGCCCTGCGGGGTATTTATTTTATATGCATGTGTTTATGTTAAATAATGTAAATTGTGGAAGAGTAGGGTGTGGGAGAACAAGAAGACCTCTTTATCAGAAACCTTAAAAAGGCCATGTTTGCATGACTCTCCTGACGCCAGCACAACGCCAGAGATGGAGAGGTTGTATATTTGAAGCAGAGCAGAAGGTGCCTCTCTGCTGGCATCAGACTCCGGGCTGAGCAGAGCCCTCTGGCAAGTGGAGGACCATTATGTTACCCCTCACTTTGTTTTCTCCCCAGCCGTGAAATTATCTGAAATCGAGATTTGTATATACGCAAATGTGTACTTTCTTAGTCCATATATTCCCTTTTTGCAGAAGACACACATCCTCTTTCTGAGTGACTGACGTTACGCTGGTTCAAGGGTGATTTATATTGCTGGAAGTCAGGCTTCTAGTCTTTGTAGGGTGAATTTTTTACTTCAGTTGCCCTTAACCACCTTCTGGTAATTCCTGAAGCACAAGGCTTAGAAGTTCTTTATTATTGGTGAAATTTTATACCATTGCACTTTTGCTGTTGTGCCCCCAATGCCTCTTTAATTGACTGAAACTGATGTAATTGAAATTGAAACTTATTCTTTTGGTTTGGAATAGTACCTGAGCAAACCCACGATGCACAAACTTCATGTGTCCTATTCCACATGTTTTACCTGCTGGCTTACTTGCTTCTTGATGGTATTTTGCAAATTTTGTCTTCTTAACATGGTTTCTCATTCTCCCCTTCAAGCTACAGTTAAGCAGTTCTATTAGCAGGTTTATTTTCTTTATTAGCTCCTGTGCCCATGACTGTATTCTGTGCTGGCAGAGTCCCTCCTGCCACCAGTGTAGGTCACTGTCACAGCCAAATGTGCTACAGAGCAGAAAGTGATGTTTGATAAAAGCAACATATTCGCAAACCAGGCTTTGTTGTGGCTCTGTTATTTTTCTGCTCTGGGTCTAGAGGGAGTGGGCTTGTCTGGCTTTTGTAACTCTGGGATAGCTCAGCAAACTGAGTCCCAAGGCCAAATCTTTTGCAGAGAAGCATCATTCATGTCAGAATCTTTGGTAGTGGCAGCTCAGCACCTGACCCAAATGTAGATTTTTGGAAAACGTGGTAAATCTACTTTTGTAGATTGTACAAACTTACTATTTTCCTTGTAAACCATAATGGAAGCTGACGCCTGATAACTCAGGCTGATGTTAAAGCCCTTGTTTATTTTAACCAATATTCCTGACAAGATAAGTATTCAGTGTATCACAGTTTTAAAATTATATTTCAAGTATTGTAGAAACAGTAACTTCTGCAGTGCTGTGTGGAACGGATGACTGTGGAATTTAAGTGCTGTTGAAATAACCAAATTTTGAAAAATAAGGTGATTATAATTTAAAYCTGCAGATAGTAATAAACTGGCTTGGATAATTAATTTGGATTTAGAGTTGCTTAATTTCTCTTGGCATTTGCAAATCCCAAACTGATTTGTGGAATGTTCTTGATTTTATTGAAAACATGTGTGACTGTTTTTGAGGGCAACAATATTTGAAGAACAAAGTAGTATCTGTATATAGATGGAGGTGGACAGGGAAACTTTCAGAAAACATAGCTTTATGTCATTTTGGGGGGCATTGAGTTGTCTGGTTTAGAACAAAACAGGCTACTGAGGAGTTGAAGTCTGCTCTGTAAAAATATTAATTGTTCAGAATAACATTTTAAATTCATAGCACAGACAAAACTGGAGCCTAWATCTACAATTTTCACATGAAAAATCAGAATTCTTAATTAGGAGTAGATCCCAAATTCGTGGAACTTCTGTTAATTTTTCAGAGTAAAAGTAAATACTGTCCAGAGTATCTCTTTCTTATCCGAGATCTAAGTATGTTTTTATATTAGAAGATGGTATTTAATAGAATTGCTAGTAGTTTTGGAATGAAACTTATTCAGAAATGAGTCATGAAGAATGTTTCTGAATTGGGCTCAGGTTAAAATACAAATTTCTGTTAATTAAAAACCTGTGTCACTATTAAAGTATCTAACTGGTAATGGAAAATATTAATAACACTTTCTGTATGGTGATACTCCCTTTGTAAATTAATTTTAGTTGCCTCTGTTCAATGAGACTAAACCTTCCTTTTTTTTTTGATTCATTGCAGGACCAGTTTGACAACCTAGAAAAACATACACAGTGGGGTATTGATGTTCTGGAAAAGTACATCAAGTTTGTCAAAGAAAGAACAGAGATTGAACTCAGCTATGCAAAGCAGCTTAGGTAAGTTGATATGTAAAGTTCTGGACTTGGAGTTTCATCTCTTCAGAGCTTGTAATCAAGTCCAAATTTGCTGTGTCAGTGGTGATTTTGTTTATAATAATGGCTTTTAGAAAATAGCTTTAATTTAATTGGAAAGTAAAAGTTAATTTAAGTGCTGTTTTATTMTATCTGCTAGTAATCATATGCTTTGCAAAAAGAGAGGTTGTTTAGGTGGCCGAGGAGCACATTAGGGYTTACTCACAGTTTATGCATGATTAATGGCTCAGGCTTGGAGGACAGCATTGTAATGTTTTCCATGAAATTGAGGCTGCTGCRCACAAATGCTGAAGGGTTTGAGAATTCAGCAGAATAATGATCGTTTGTTAGGCAAAGTTTAGGTTTTCTTTTACTAAGACAGGCCCTTTTTGAACGTGCACAGGGAGAAACTGCAGGTCAGGAAGTCAGCCCCAGCCYCTGTTAATTTTTCTTGTGTAGTTAACCAGGTTACAGCCTGAGGTTTGAATGGCAGTTTTATAATCTTCTGAGGTGTCTCCTGATCAGAGCAGAGATCTTTGTGAATTTATCTGCAATAATTCCTGCTAGGTGCTTTCTACATGTCTGGTTTGATTGTAGGTAGAGACAAGTATGTATGAACCAGACACAGAAACCATTCTTGAGGTCAGATCAGTGTAAATGGGGAAGGGGTGCTAAGAACCCTCCCACAGGAATAGGTGGGATCAAATCAAATTACCTTGATTTTTACAGTAAGGTAGAAAGAATTGAGAAGTGATCAGGGGTTAGAAGGGAATAAAACACACCAGCAATCCTCTTGCTGCCTATGAGCAATCGTTGGCAGCCACTGGTGACCAGTGATAAACTGGAAGTGCTGGAGATAACTGGGAAGGGGAGAGCAGAAATAATTCTTCCTCCAGTAAACCCACCTTTTAATTGCACTGTGATGATAAATCTTAGAGCTCCTTCCATCTTCTCAATTTTTAGAGATGGAATCTGAAGTTTAAGTTGATCTGTGTATCTAAAACACAGTGTCTACTAAAAAAAATAAAAAAAAAAAAATCACCCAAAATTTGCTTGTGTTTGAATGGATTTGAGATGCACAACGGCCTGTGATTTATGAGGAGCTGGTGGCAGATAAACCCCTGCCTTGATGGTTGTGTGCTCTCCCAGGGGAATGCCAGGAGGGTTCCCCAGGGTTTCTGCTGCAGACAAGCAGGAAATAGAAAATGACTCGAGCAGGAACAAATTGCTCACATCCTATGGAGAGGAGCAGAGATTGAATTACAGAGGCAAAATGAGTTGGAACAAAGAGAGTGTGACTGGACTGGGAAAGCCCAGCACAGTATCTGTGTGAGCTGGCCTGTCTATGAACCATCCTGCACCAGTCTCACTGGAGTATTCAGGATGACAAATTCCARGTTAAAGAGCTCAATTAGAAAAATAAACACACAAACAGAAAATGTAAACAGAAGTGAAAGATGGTTTTACCTGTGACCATGTAGAAACTATGAATTTCTGAGCTTTATTTCTTATTCTGTCCCAAACTTCCCAAAAAATCTTGGTCRATTTGTTTTTTGCCTGTCTTTATTTTTACGGTTTGAGGACAAATRCATCTGTCCCCAAGGGGCTCTTAAGCACAGGGCTGCTTGGAGCCATCTAAGAAGTTAATTAGAAGAAWAAAAGAAAAAACAAAAATGTAGACTTGTCAAGTGTTGAGGTAAAACAGTGCTGGACATTAAGAAAAGAAAAAATAAATCATGYATCTGCTTTTATTAAATAAGTGTCCTGAAGCCTGGTGCAAACCTTTTTTTGTACCACATCCATTTGGAATAAAAGGGCTGGATCACATCACTGTATGTCATAACATGCAGAAAATATTATTAAAAAGGGACAGGTTAACTCAAGGTACTCCAGTGGATGTAACTCAGTTTTGTTTATAGTGTAAGTAAATCTGCTGAAATTTATTTTCTTCTGAGAAAGTTGCATTTTCTGCTCCAKTCCTGTGTTCCCTAACTAGCTATTTCTCCTCTCTGACTAATCTCAGCCTGGTCATCTATTGAAGCTTAATTTACTTCTATTTAAAATTATTTTTTTGCTTCCTCTGCAAAATTCTGCAAACATACTTTTAGTATTTGTTTTTAAGCTTGACCTATATACCATTTACAGTTAGCCCTGGTTTGAGAGTCCACTTCTCATCTGACATGATTATTTTCTTAACTGTTTTGCWTTTTATTTCTTGAATCATTAGGCTAGGCTGGGTGGGAATTGATGTAGAAAGTGTGTAGAATGCCTATTCCTGTATTTTAACTTCCATGGGACATTGATGCTGTGCTCCCAGTGCTGAGGTGGTCTGTCCTTGTCACTTCCCTTGCATCTTGTGCAGTCAGAGCATCACAAAGGGTGTCAAAACCCTTGCCTAATGTGATGATGGATAGATAGCCTCAAGGAAAATGTGTTGAAAAAAAYGCCTCAGGCATTGGGATAATCTGAGAATCAGAAGCCCTGATGTCTGACATCTCTTTCTCTCACATTTGTCACCTGAGCTGAAATAAGGGAGCAGAGAAACAAACTGGAAAGGCAGAAAAAATGATGCAGAGTGAAAGGCAAATAGAAACACTCATGGAAGAGGCACTCAGGATAGTACAGAATCTTTCCTGAGCTGATGTTTTGTCCCTKGCCTTTATAAAGTGTTAGTTCCCTCTTTAATCACTGTTAGCACTGAAGGGGTCAGTGCTTCAGGAGCTTGAACCTGGGCAGTGCTGGTGGTGACGCTGCTCCCCAGGACAAGCTGAACTCCAGTATCACTTGTGGGGTTTTTTTTGTGTGTAACTCTGTAAAAACCTACATTTGATTTTAGAAAAGGGGGGGAAAAAAATCAAAGAAATTATACAGTTTGTGTTTTGTGTAAATTCATGGAAGATAATAAAGTGTTTGACGCAGGTGCTGATCCTTGGTAAGTGGCTTTCGTCTGTGAAAGCAGACTGTGGGTTTGTTTCTTTTTTGGTTTTTGGGGTTTTTTTATTTGTTCTGATTTTTTTGTTTTGATTTTTTTATCTTCAGCTACACAGCATTTCTGCASCTTTAAAGATTCACAGGAAGCCAGTTGCTGTGTGTGTCAGAATTAATTGGACAGCATGACAGTGCAGGGAGATGGAGTTTTGACTGTGTGAAAATACCTTATTACTGTAGCTTTCTGCACTTGTTTTCTTGTGGTTTTTCCTTTTCCCTTCAAGCAGGTGCATGGAGGGAGGCATTCCCACGGCAAGCAAAGGGTGCTCTAAGATTTATTGTCATCAGGCAGAACAGTTTGCAGAGCCCTTCCCATGCTGGTTTTTGGTGGAAGCTKCAGAACTGGCAACAAGTTCATTTTTTCAGAGCATGCTGTTGGAGAGAAGGCACAGACTGAGAGGGAGATACTCATTTGGATCCCTTCCAGTCGAGATACTTAAGTTTTGAGGAACACATGTTTGTCTGTGCAAATCTGCCAGCGTTCTGGCTACTCCTCTGTTGGGGCAGATKCTCCTTAATTCCTCAAGGAGAACAAAAGGAATAAGAAATGTGAGATGAGAGGCCCTGCTGTGTCCAAGCCAGCAGTAAAACCAGCATCAGCAGGGAAGGGGTTACACCTCTGAAAAAGCAGTTTCTTTACAACTCCATGTTCTGGGAATTCTCCAAAGATTTTGGCATGGATAAGTTGATAAAACTCAGTCCTCCTTTGGACAACGATTTCATCAATACTCCTTGTGTGCTGTTCTTAATCGCTGAAACAACCTTGTTAAACTAAACCAAATGGCTTCCCTTTCACAATAGGGTGAGAGACTGCCAGAGGGACCAGTGTAAAAGGACCCAGTTTAGGACAGAGGAGMACTGAAAAGGCCTTAAAATTACCCAGTGAGATTTGTCATCCCTGTAGCATGCCCTGGTTCATTGTGCTGCAATGCAGTGTGCACCTTCACAAATCCCTGCATTTTCTGCTGATGAATGGGCTTGTGGGGCAATGAAAACCATACAATCACTGTCAGACGTGCTCACAGCAATGCCCAGGTTTCTTTTTTAAGATATGATCATTCAAAGAGCATATTGTTGCTTTAAAATTAAATCAGTAGTTGGGGGAAAATGAGATGCAATCATCTGCGCTAATTAGGATAATCAAATGTCACACTTCCCCCAGCATTAGTTGATAATCACAAAATGATCCCCCTTTTGCCATCTCAGAGCAGCTTCCCACAGGTTTATGAAGGTTTTTTTTTGCCTTCTAATCATCCTGCTAAAGGCATGCAAACCTGCCTGGCTGAGTGTCACCTGCATCAGAGCACCCTTCCCTGGGATSATTTGTACTCCAAAGGAATCTCTCCTTTGGGTCAGGTGAAGGAAATCTGTGCCTCAGCAGAACCACAACTCAGGTGTTCATGACCTTAATTTAGCAACTTCTTGGGCTCAGAATCTGCTCCACTCCCTTGTTGTAGTTACAGAGACTGGAGCACTGTGCAGCCCATGTTTTGAGTGTTACTAACACACAATCAAAGTCTGGTTATAGTCATGCTTCTGGAAAGAGACTACTCACTGGAGATAAAAGCTGCAGCCTCACAGAATGCGTGTGCATGTGAAGATCATCCAGTAAACTTCAAAGGAGATTTTAAAATTTAATTTTATGTATCTGTATTTTTAATTTTAGGAATCTTTCAAAGAAATACCAACCCAAGAAGAACTCCAAAGAGGAGGAAGAATACAGGTATGTTCATGATCCAGTGCTGGATGAGCATGCGTTGATGGAGGAATGACAAAGTTTGGGTCATCTAGGATTTGTAAACCAAAGGTTTTAGTCAAGTGTAAGAATATAAGAAGCCATAGATGCAGAAACAGTCTTATGTGGTAGATATTAAGGAGTGGATTTGATCTGTAACTACTCAGTTCCCTTATGCTGCAGTTTCTGGATGCCTGGTTTGGGATTTTTGTTTCCTTTTTTTTTTTATGTGCCTTAAAACCTTCAAGCCAGACTGATCCTGGCTCTTTGAAGTGAACRACTCAATTCATATCTGCTTTCAGCAGGAGCAGAAACAGTTGTTAATTTTAGCATGAAACTCAAGCACTCTGTGTRAGTATTAAATTACTCAAACAGCCTGACAACACAGATTAGTAACTTAGAAAAGGGGTAATGTTCTAACACCACAGTGGCTCCTGCAGAGCAGGGTGGAGGATGAGGTTTGTTSTCCCAGTATCCTGGGTCTCAGTGATGTTGAAGGATGTGGCCCAGCCTCATCTGTCTGCTTTTTATTGATATGTGTCCCCATGGCAAGGGACTGATGTGTCCTTGCAGGCAGCAATAGAGAGCTCAGCTCCTCTGAGCAACATGGTCCAGGTGATGAGACACCACAGGTCACTCAGAACACTCCTGCCCTTGGGGACAATAAAGATATTCTTTAAGGAGAACTTTCTAGAAGAGGAGCTTCCCAACAGACTAAACCAGAGTTAGAGCCCTTAGAGCTCCGTGACCCTGGAGTTTCTCAACGTCAGAGTTTTGTAATGCAGCTCTGAACGAAGGCATGGCAGGGGCTGACCCTCAGCCTGGTGTTTCRGGAGGCTGCTCTGCCTCTGGAGAGCCCAGCAGCAGCCTCAACCCCTTGACCTTGAAATTTGAAACATTTCAGTAGAGTTTGGATGTGGGTCCAACTCTATGATTATATTAATACAGATTTTTGGGTCAGCCCCCCAAGCTGYTCTATCCAGCTACTCCAGTGGCTTGTATAACAGAGATAACAGCCTTTTTGCTTGCTTTTAAATTTATTTTTAGTGACATTGTTTGGGAATCAGTTATTTATGCCATTGTTTCCTGAGATATTGGTATTTACACAAGGAAGATTATGTTAGCAGCACAGTGGCTGTTTTGGTCTATACCCAGGTTTAGGAATAAATCTGCCTTTGGATAGCTCTACCATAAATGGGTATTTTGAGTTTACTACAATTGGTTTTGACACATCCTTCATTACTGAGAAAGGATACTAGAGTGAAATGATTCTATGTGATCTGGCACAGAAGATCCTGTGTATCCTTTGCCCTTTATAAATTCAGTGTTCACCTCAGTGTGGTTACTTCCTGTCTCAAAACAATGTCTGGGCATTTGTCATGTGACCTTTGGGTACCTCAGACACTGCTTTGAGACAACCTGGCTAAAAATCAGCTTTTCCAAGCTCATTGTCAGTTTGTAGTTCTGTGGCTTTTTACTTTGGGATTTTTTTTTTTTTTGCAACTGGGATTTCTCTCATTTCACAGCTTGACTGTGGATGTGCCTGTTTGTAATGGATTATGTTTTTAGTCCTTTTTAGTTTCTCCTGTTTTTATTTTCTCCTTGTGCCTTTTTCTTCCCTACTTGTTCCCTTCCCCTCTATTTCCTCTAAATATTTCCATCTTTGCTTTGATTTTGTCACCCTTAGGTGATGTTATCAGTGTAGGCCACTACTTTCTATAATAATAATAATAATAATAATAATAATAATAATAATAATAATAACAATAATAATAATTTTTTCTAGTGTCTACTGGTATATTGCTGCTGGTTTCCAGCTGCCCAGCACAGCCAGCTGGGGTATTTAAATGCAGCTCAGTTGGCACTGGGCTGAATATACCAGTGACATAATCTGCTGTTTTGAGATTTGTGTGCACAGATGTTTGTTTCTTCCTTTCAATAATACATGGAGTGCTCTATGAGAGATTATTTTATATGAAAAATAAACCTTGTGATGGAAGGTACTTAAAGGTATGGGTTGACAATGAACACCTGGTTAGTAAACGCACTGCTTATTTGAAAACTTTGTCAACTATATCTGATTTAAATCAAATTTACRCTATGAAAAACTTTCTTTTCTAGGCTAAGCTGGCCAAAATTTTGCTTGCTTAGACAGGATTTTGCCAGGTAGGATATACTGATGACCCTGTGCACTGAATTGTAGGACTTGAAAGAGTGTAACTAGAATGTTTGGTGAATAGAGATTAGAAAAGTGAAGCCCCAGAGCTGTGCTGATAAAGAACCTGGCACTCTAAAGAGGTGATATTTTAAGAGCCAGTGTCAAACTGTCTAAATTGAGATAGATTTATCAGACAACTGTCAGTGTGTGGGACAGGCTTCCTCTGGAGGAATTCCTAATTCATACCCAGTCTCACACAGCAATGCTGAGTGCTTAAGGAGGATCCCACCTCCCTTTGCAGTGTGTCTGCCTGAAAAGAAAGGGACTAAAAGCAAAATKATTTCTGTCCTTTGCAGGTACACATCAACCAGAGCCTTCCTAGCCACTTTAAATGAAATGAATGACTATGCTGGGCAGCACGAGGTCATCTCAGAGAACATGACCTCCCTGATCACTGGAGAGTTAACACGCTACGTGCAGGAGCTGAAACAGGAGAGAAAATCGGTAATTGATCCTTTTTTTATTTATTATTCACAATGAGATGCTATTTAAGACAGCTAATTAGTGGTAGTGGAGTTCAATGGTAAGTGAGATTTATTTGTTAATAAACATGAGCTGTGCTAATGAACCAAGCATTGAAGAAATGGGTTATGTGCCCTGGCCAAGTYGCTGAACCGTTTGAATCAAATGTTATAAAATCAGACAGCGATGCCTGCAGGAGAATCCCTGCTAAATAAGGTCAGAGACCCATCTGTGCTTAAGGCTCTCCTRGCCAAAAGCTTGCTTAGGAAGAGTCCAGCAGCACTGTGTAAAGCCTGAAATAAACAGTGGAACTGCAGTGGTGAGGCTCATTGAAAGAATTATTTGGATTTTGATTCACATTTTTGTGCTTCTCAGCCAGATCCGGTCAACACTAAAAAAAATTATTCTGATGAAAAATATGGGGTCTGTCTTGTTTGGCAATGGTGGGGAACGTGGTTTTCAACCTGTTGTCCTTCAAGACTGGTAGAATTAATAGCTTTATGTTATTGCTCAATTTCTGCTGGTACTTTTGGGACCTATGTGCCTGCTGCAGTGGATGTTCAAAGCTGATTAATTTGCACATCGCCAGCTCTGAAAAATGGATATTTGAGATGTGATTTCCTTCCTTGCCTTGAACCCTTTTATCCCCTGGATGTGTGCGTGTAGAAAAGGGATTCTAAACACTACAAAGACTCATAGAACAGGTATAAAATGACTAAGCAAAGTGCAAAGGGAGCATCAGGGCATTATATTTCATTTCCAAACTGTTGGTCTATTCTGGAAAGTGCAAAAATACTCCTGCAGAACTTCTGCATTTATAAATAGTCCCACTAAGCACTAAGCATGTGTTGAAGTGCTGTGCAGGACCAGAGCCCTGGAAATCACCACCTTTTCCTAAGTATAGTATTAGAATGATAAATCTGTCAACAGAGGAAAAGAATATATAGACATACCTTTAATCTGCAGAAGGGTGTGTAATCTTTCAGGGACAGCATGGTAAGGATGTTTTACATCCATAGCTGTGGTGAGAATGTTTTCTCAGCCCCTCTGTGACCTTATATTCAGCATGGATCTGTACAATAAGCAAAGCAAAAGTGACATTCTAGTGTGGCATTTTTCTGTCAGTTGTAATGTTTTTACCTATTTTTTTTTCAGTTATATGGACATAAAAGATGATTGGAATATCCACYAGACATTTAAAGTATGATGGAAGGAGGCTTGCAGTATTTCTTKTAAAGAATTTGAGCAGTAGCTATTGGTTTTTTTCTTTGTTTTGTTTGTAAACTTTTCTACTAAGTATGTCTCAAATAATGGGTGAATGACAGGAAAATTAGTTTAATATTGGTTTAGTGATAAGAACATGAGAAAAGCCAAAAGCAACTAACGYTGTATTTACCTGCTGTTGCTGATAATTACTGGCCTTTAACAGAAAACAGTTGTCAGTCATGGTTATTCTGTTCTTGCAATATGAATAGAAGCTTATAGGAATTAGGAATCCTTGTCTGGTTCCTGTAGATTTCTCRTTTATGAGAAAATGGTGTTGAAAAGGAAACTGCTCCCACCCTCAGGCATTTTTCATACACAGCCTCTCACTTCATCCTGTAAAAGCATCGATCCTGCTGAGATCTGCAGGAGGGAAGGGTGGCTGTTGTGTAAATATAACAGAGGGCTGCAGCTTTGGCAAAACCTTTTATGATATCAATTAAWGAATGACTTGGTATTTCCAGAAATTTTGCTGGCAGAGTTCTCTTGTGCTCACTGCTTGTTCTGCCATCAGCTGCTGTGCTACAGGTCCAAAGAACCATTTGGATGAGCCACTCCTGGRGCTAAGTCCATATGCAGGAATTGGGAGACCCACTGAGTCTTGTATATTTGAATAAAGAATCATTTAGATGTCCAAATTCCTGTAAAATGGTACAAATTTCCAGTGATTTCAGCATGACTGTGGTAGATAAGCACCCTTKGTCTTTTGTTGTTCTTTCCCACCTGGAAGATGGAAATTATGCACAGAAGTGTCTTAACTATGAATGTGTGAAAGATGAACTCAACTTGAGCAGAAGGTAGTCAGGCAAATCAGATTGGGGTTGGAAGGGACCTTGAAGTTCATCCCTTTGCCTCTGACATGAGCAGGGACACCTTCCACTAGACCAGATTACTCCAGCCTGACCTTGGRCACTTCCAGGGATGGSGCAGCCACAGCTTCTCTGGGCAGCCTGTGCCAGGGCATCACCACCTCATCAGGAAAGAATTTCTTTCTAATTCCTCTAAATATAGCTAAATTTAAATCTTCAGTTTGCAAAGGAAACCTCTGAGCGTTTTCTGGAGTCACGGGCGATGAGCGTGGCTGGTGATCTTTGAACACGTGGGACTGGGGCCTGCCTGCCCCGCTCTGTTTTCATGCTCATTTAGCTCGACTGATTCAAGTGGAATTACACCAGCAGCTGAGCGGGGTCACACGGTCATAAATCACTCCTTGGGTTTKCCGTGACAAGTACAAGCCCCTGGCCTGTAAGCGGTGCAGAACTGATGCTGTATCAYATCTTACCTTGGTTTAATGCTGGATGAAATTCATTTGGCATGCAATTTGTGCATATGTTGGGTTTGTTTCACTCTCTGAAAGGTGTATTTGATGCCTGCATATGTCATGCTTTTTCCATRAAAGGGAAATTGCTAGTGGTGAATRAAAAGGAARGAGTAACTCATCAAAGCCAGGCAGGACAGTCTGCAGGTTGGACAAGGGGCATGGCGTGAAAGTTCAGTGGTTTGCTGCTGTTGTTTAAAAAGCCTCTGGTGTAATTCAGAGCTTGGAAGAGTTCTGTGCTACCTTTGTATTTTTTCAGATCATGTGCTTTGTTGCATGATGGCTTTTGATCATCAGAAAGTGGTTACAAAAATCAGGCAAATACTCTCTATGAAACCTGAATACTTTCAGCAACAAAGGTGAATCAATGGCTCTATCATATTACACATTCCTCTTCCATAGGATAACTCTCGATGCTGTCACTGTAGCAAATGAGTTGTTTTTGCCCTCACAGTCACTGTAGTCAGGCACACACCCTGCCTGCTTTGCACACAGTGAGAGGGAGARCTCTTTGTGTTGTTTCAGTTCTACCCAGCTGCTCTGTGAAGTGAAACTCTTTATAGTTCAGTTCCTCACTTGAACTTCTTCTTCCATTCTCTTGATCTTACTGTGTCCATGCTCTCCCAGGAGCAATTCTCATCCTCAGRGTCCTTGTTAGCTGCTTTAAAGCTCAAATTTCAGTTCTGGGTTGTGAAGGGCATGCCCCATCCGCCTTCCTCTTGAGGTTCYTGAGGTTAGATGCCTGTGACTGAATTCCCCTTTGCTGTTGGAAGACATCACGACCTCACACGAATGAGGTGGGAATTGTCTCTAAGTGGTTCAGGGAAAGAACTTACTTCTGCAGTCATGCTTCATGTCACCCCAATGTCACCAAAACCTTCCTTTGGGGTAGCTCTGGAAGGTGTCAAGTTTGAGCTGGAGGCCTTWATCAGGTCCTAATCTTGTTTATCTGTGACAAAAGAAGAAGTGGTGATCCTGTCATRTCAGGAGGAGTGTTTGGACTTTACTTCACGAGCACTGACACGTAATGCACTTCTAGGTTGGAAATGTATCAAATCAACCATTGAGAATTTCTGTTTGTTGGCTTTTTTCCCCCCTTAACACTTCACAGGACGTACCTTGATTTATAGATTCAACTATGGCTGTGGAAACCCTTCAATTCTGTAATTTGGATAGAAATTCAAGAATTATTTCCTGGGGCCATTCTGATTTAGATCTGTGGTCACAAACTAGGTCTGACTCACGGCCTCCTGGCAGCAGCTGCTCTGTAGCCAATGCTCCTGTCAGATTTGCTGAAATTGTATTTGGGAGTCGTGAACTGTCCCTCTTATTACTGCTGCTGCTCTCACCCCTACCTCCACCTCCCCTTGGGGCKGCACTGGCTCCATACAATCAAGCATGAAAGTCAAGTAGAAGCCAAGAGCTTTGCTGCAGACTGAACTGGTGCAGCACTGGGATTCTGTGGTTGGGAGGGAATTTGCCTGATGTCAATACATTCCATTTTGTGCAGGGATAGAAGGGGAATGGGGAATGAATGAATCCTTATGGGCACCATGGGGGCAAAACGGGTCTGGTTCTTTATGGTGGAGTGTGTGCACCCTCTCTGTGTGCATTCATCCAGGGGGTGCCTGTCAGAGGACTTTCTGTTCCTTGCAAGGTCTCAGGTGTTGATGAAAAGTAAATAATTGGAGGAATTCTGTCATGTTCACTCATTCTGAATAGTGCCCTGTTCTGTGAACAGTCCTGTGGTTTTGCTGAGGATTTCRGCCTGCATGAGGCAGGATGGCAGTGCTCAGCCCTGTCAGGAGCACAATGGATTTTTCCATGTTGCATTTTGGATGTGCCTCGAGGTGTGTGTGTGTTTGGAGCACAGCTGTGCTTTGTGTTGCAGGGGCACAGAGGGACCTTGCTGCCTTCCAGAGGTGACAAACCAGTGGGCAAATGAGGGTGGGAAGAGGGAAGGAGCAACAGAAAAAGGAAGTGATTGGCCAAAACTGCAGATTGATGAGATTTAAACTGAGCTTTGCCCACCTCTTTTCCTGGGACTAACCCACTTCCAGCTCACTGGCCCATAAATGGAGCTAAAATCTTCAGTTTTGATCTAAATTTATGGGTATTTATGTCAATTATGTTTTTATGTCAATTTATGGTATCTCTTGTGCTCAGTGAATACACTGCACAACAGTTCTACTCTACATCCTCCCCCTTGCAAAGTATTTCAGCTGTATTTCATTAAGTTAAATTGAAGCAGTAGGGTGTTAACCAGTAATTATTAAAAAAAATTGAAGAATGCAGAAAATTATTTAGGAAAGATCAGATTAAATTCTGTGGTTTCTTATGAAGTGTTTGTTGGTTTTCACCAAATCATGGATTGCAAATGTAATGAAGTTATGGTAAATAT